GTGGCAGTAGGACACAGCCAAGGGCCCTTCAACTTTTCAAAGGAATACCTCTAAAACAGAAAAAAACCCCACTGTCACCAAAGACAATCTCTACATCAGCAAATTTTCAGTACAAGGCCGAAAGAATCCACACTCCCTACAACTGTTACAGTGTAAATGGACAGTATTTTCTGTGAGCATCTAACCAAAAAGAAAGATTCTGAAGCTTACAAAAATGATAAATATTTTTATTGCTTCAAGTCTAAAGCAGCTAATCCAGTGCTTGCAGGATACCACAAAAGCACAGAGGCTCATGGGCCACCATCTACTAAGTAAACCTGATTTATATATATAAAATATATATAAATATTTATATATATATATATATATATATTAAGCTCTAATCACATGTACTGTAATCTGAACTGTAAAGATACATATAATTCATGTCTGTTTTTCAAGAAAAGGAAGCTCATGAAGTTTCAAATCAAAGATGGGTACCTTTAATCTCATAACAACCCCTTGGTGAATTCAATATGTAGTTAAATGCAGATACTCATCTGTGACATTAAAAACAATCTACTACAAGAAAAAGAAGAAATTCCAAGTCATAAGTTTTTAGTTTTCCAGACTTACTGGGAAAAGGAACATTCATGTCTGCATGCAACATTTCAATGAGTTGTGCAGTCTTAGATCCAGGAGCAGCACACATATCTAGAATCTACAAACATATGAAAGTTTAAAGAAGTCCTGCCTTGTACCTTTTCAGTACTTGAGAAATTTACTATGTTCTTATTCAAATTAAGTATTTTTGAATCTGGAGAATTATGATTGTTCTGAACACCAATTTGAAAAAAAACGAAGTACAATCCTGTTCTTTGTATGCTTTACCTTTGAAGGTTGAAAATATAAAAATTACTTTAGTTTATAAGGAACAAAAACATCAGCTGAAATAAAATTGGAAAGAGGAACTAGAATACAGATTTGGGGACATGATCCTTTTATCAGTTCACAAACAATTCCAACTTAAGTTATCTGCAACTTTACATATATGCACATATATTAAAGACAAAGTTACATTCAAGAGCAAGTACTACTTTTCTTTAAACTATCAGTAAATTAATCAGAGACAGTAGTTTATATAGATTTTATAAAAATTAATTGTTCTCCCTCTCCACACATTTACATTTCAATGCATAAAATCAGGGCAGTACAGGTCTCCTGCTTCTTTATCTTGGAAGAAGCACTTGGGAGGTGTCTGAACTGCCCTGACGCAGCTGAACATAACAGAAGGAACACAAACACCTAAATTCTAGTGTATTTCTCCCTCCTAATTAATCACTAACTCACCTTGTGATGGAGTCATTGGTAGAGTCACTTTCAGGAGCAAAATAACTGACATCTCACACTGTTCTCTTAAGCAAGGAAGCTTAGAGTCTTTCCTCTTGCCTAGTTACAGATTTTCAGAAATATATGTCTATCTCCTGATACACTTTGGCTTCAGTAAAAATTAGCTGAAATTGTGCAACAGGATAAAGGATGGCAACAATCTGCTCAGATCCCCATCAAACAAGACTAAATCAGAAGAGAGCCCCCAGAGAAACACAAAGAGAGTTCCAGAGAATGTGTGGTAAGTGCTGTCATGCAGCAGCGCTAATGCATCATGAAACACACCCTGCAAGACAGTACCAGATCTGCTGTTTAAATTAAGAGATGTGATGCTACTGTTTTCTATTTTCATAGATAATGCAAAAGATAATGAAGAATAAACAAGGCTAAACACACTCTTAAAACTGTCCAGCAAACTGATGGTGGGAGAAAACAGATTAAAAATGAACACAGCTAAGGGGAGGTTTGACAATCATTAATTTTATTCTTGTGGAAGATGGAATCAGCATCTTAGACATGACATACAGAACATGCTGGTTAAACAAAAGTAACCTGCAATTCTGGTCCTGACAAGCAGCTAAGCTAAGGGACTAAGGACCACAAACGGTCCTAAATGACAAGTCAGGACATCATTACATCATTTAACATTTGCTGTTTTGGCACATGAGAGGATAAAGAACCTAGTCTTAGTCTGATTTATGGAATCTTGCACACATTTCTAGAAAATACTGCAATACTCACCCAAATTAAACATTCAATATCAAGCCTATATACTGCTAGCTTTGCATATACAATGTATGTGCAAAAATATCCCTACAATTTGTATTTTACATTAAGATGAACGTGTTCAACACCTGTTCAATTCCAGACAAAAATCAAAATACACCTGTGACACATCAGGACTGAGACTTTCAATTTACTATTCACTTAAAAGAAGTGAGAAGACCTTGCCTCACATGGAACAGCCATAGCTGTCATACACTGGGTTGGGGTGAAAGTAGGACAAAAAAAGGTGGAAAATTATGTATACTAAGTAATGTTAATATAAAAAAAAATTGTGTACAAGCTAATCTTTAAAACATATGTTAGAATTTTGATAGATATAAAATTTTAAGATTCAGCATGAAAATTTAATCAAGAAGAACACAATATGGCTGCTGGAGATAGCAAGGCAACTAGCCCATTAATTTAACAGACTAAGAGTAACCTGACAACCTCGGTCTGCAAACAAGCACGGAGTATGAAAACTCTGAAAACAAAGTGAGATCAGAAAGTTTGCTACCAGATATCCTCATTCATATAGTGTGCCATAAGAAAATAAGGGCATTCCTTACACACTTCAGTTAAAGTTAGCACCCTATACTGTTAAGCCACCACCAACAGCATGTTTCAGCTCTCCCAAAATATTTAATCTAACATTATTCATAGAGTAGAACTTTTCAGCTTCTTCAAAAGGCATAGAGGAGTGAAATCTACAAGGCAGGGAATATGATCAATTGCATCTTGAAAACTACATCTGTTCACAGTGTGATGGAGAGAGGAAGTTAAAAACAGTTACCTTACTTTAAGAGCAAGTTGTAACAAGAAAACATAACTCAGATGCAGCTAAACACATTTATACATTGAAAATAAGACTATGCAACTGCCTAAAATCGAAGGGTTTTTTCAGGGTATTACAACTGAAAAGCAGATGTTCCTCTGACAGTGTGTATGTGATCTGAACATTAATTGAGTCTTGCTGTTGATATGCAGAAAGCACAAAATGTACCAACATGAAACAGAACCATGTATCAGCCTTGATACTGCTCTTGTGATTTGTAGTTCACTTAAGGTAAGTTCAGGGAACAAACTTTAGTACACATTATATTCTAGGCTTACCTTATGATGAGGGCTAACATTAAGCAGTAGAGGTGGGATCATACTAACAGCCTCCTGACGACTGATATTTCCCTTGAAAGGAAAAAAGAAATTAAATGTGTTTTTATTCCATGAAAGAATGCATTTCTTCTGCAACAAAAGTTTTAAATTGTTACATAGTAAAATAACAAAGCAGTCAGAAATACACTACTATAAACTTAGGATTAAATTCCGTTAGCATTTAAAAAAAAAAAAATCACAGTATTTCACCCAATTGTAATTTCCTAATAATTGTTTATTTACTCCAATTGCATTAATTCTGTAGTTTCTGCTCAAGAGAGAGGAGAAAGTGGCTCTAATCAAGTGACAAACATTCATCACTTAAGTGTTGTCATGCACATGCATGCACTTTTTACCACATTTTGTTTATAACAGCAACTGATTATTTTACAGGGACTCATTTGAACATCCCCAAGCAACAACAAAAATGCAATTAAGTTTAGGCAAATATTTGTAGCTGCAGTTATGCACCAGAATCACTGGATGCATCACTGCCAGCTGCAACACAAAATCCAGATTCTTCTGAGCTACTGAACTTCTGAGAGAAGTTTCATCTTTCATAATGTATTTCAGTAAAACATTGCTCAGGATATGCCAGAAAAAAAATCAAGATCTATCCAAAACTTACACATTCTGTCTCGCTAACCAGAAACTGATGCAACTTTTCCAGTTGTGGGGACTTGCGTAAGATTTTTCTACTCAAGTTAGTGTGCCAGGCTAACTCTTCAGGATACCTGATGGGAAAGAGATGAGAAAAGAACAGAGGCAGAAGAAAGAGACCGATGAGCTAGGCTGGTTCATGCAGGAACATGCAGAATGCCTTGTCTCCAGATCACTCACCAGCTCAGCAACTGCGGCATCTCGACTTTTTGGCCATCCACCTCCAGGTCCTGCAGCTCTCGGAAGTACTTTTCCTTCAAGCAGTGGAGAATCTCTTTGGCGTGGCTACATACGAGAAATACCCGGAGGGACACCGGATGGAGAACCACAGAATCGTAGGATGGTTCCGGTTGGAAGGAGCCTTAAAAATCGCGCAATTCCACCCCTCTGCCGTGGGCGGGACACCTCCCCCTGTGCCAGGTGGCTCTGGCAGCCGCTGTCCGGAGCGCGGCCCCACTGGCGCCCCAGCCCGTACCTGCGGTAGCCGGTGATGCGCAGCGTGGCGGGGAGAGGCTCCCGCAGCGCCGCCATGAACGCGTCCCACTCTCCGGCGGGCACGATGCCCAGCTCCCGGTAGTACCGCTCGAACAGCTCGTTCTCCTTCACGATCTCGGGGTAGCCGCCGGCCCAGCCCTGAAGAAAAGCGCCGCCGCCGTCAGCCCGGCGGCCCCAGCGCTCCCCGCCCCGCTTTACCTGCCCCAGCCCAGCTCTCACCGCCTGGTCCCCGCCGCCGGCTCCGCCGCCCCGCTCCTGCCGCTGCTGCTGCTGCCGCCGGCGGTCCCGCGCCCTGCGGCCCATGGCAGCTAGAAGGCGGCCGAGCCGCGCCACCAGCCCCACCGTAAGAAAAATTGGCCGCTCCCGCTTCGCCTCCGCTCTCAACCGGACGGAGGTACCGCGCGACTGCCGCGTGCACCCGACGCGCACGCGCGGGCCCGCCTTCCCCCGGCGCTGCTTCCCGGCGGAACTTCCCGAGCGCCCGGCCCGGCCTGGCCCCACCCACAACGAGCGGGTGGTGGCGGCCACGCCCCCGACGGCCACTGGCGGTGCCAGATGAACTGAGGCTGTAGAGGGGAATGGGGTTTGCTGGTGATGGCGGTGTGTGCGCGCTGTGGCGCCGGGCTGCGGGCCCCGAGGAGCGGCGGCTGCTGGAGCTCTTCTCCTACGGGCTGATGGCCCTGGGCGCCGCCTCCGCACTGCTGCTCTGCTTCATTCCCATGCCCTACGGCCGGTACTCCTCGCGGCGTTTCGGCTGCCTGGTGCCCGCCCGCCCCGCCTGGGCGCTGCAGGAGCTGCCCTCCCTCTTCGTCCCGCTCGGGCTCGCCGCCTGTGGCGGGGCAGTCGCGACCGCCCGGCCCAACTGCGTCCTGCTGGGCTGTTTCCTCCTGCACTACGCGCACAGGTGCGGGGTCGGGCGGGCTGCGCTGCCTGCGGGCACAGGCGGGAGCTCTCTGCCATGCTGGGGGCACGAGAAGGTATCGGTATTCATAAAGATACCTGGTTGCTGCTTGCCGACCGAAGGGATTGAGGTTCTATTAATTAGCGTTTGTTGCTTAATGTAATAGTCGCTGACACCTCTTCTGCTTCGCTACATTAAGGTATGTTCTGTGTTGTTATGGTAGCTGGGTAAATAGCCGTGGCGATGAGGTACTGGCTCTCTTGTGCGTACTGTGCTATGCACTGCGATGCTCCAGCGTGCAAACGGAGCGCTTGGCGATCCCTGTGCTGCTGCTGTGCCTCTCGGTGATTCCCAATTCAGAAGTGGATTGACCAGGCTGTCTTAAGGTCACACTGTTAAAACAAGGGAAGTTCAGCACAGTGTACTGATACAATCTTGATGTTGCGAAGCAATAACTATTTTTCAATTATATTGCTCAACATTGTCTTTCAACATAGCGTTTATACCAGGAATTGGACTGGATGAGCCTTGTGTGTTTCCTCCAGCTTAGCATATTCAATGATTCATTAAAATACTGGCAAAGCTGAGGCTGAGTGCCCTGTGTTGCCAGGTAGTCAACAGTATTCAGACATTTTGTAAAAATACTTGGAGAAGGCAGCTTAGCTGGAGTCCAGGTGTGATCTTGCTGTTCCCTTCACATAATGGACAGTATCTACTGGTCATACTCCATAAGTAAATTTGCCAGCAAGACAGGAGGGATAGATTTGTCAGGTTTATTTTAAGCCACTTGTGTGGCTGATACATTACTTTCTGGTCCTTATTGAGAAAAGCTCTTGATTTTGACCAAGTCTATTCCATAGCCTTGTGGTGGGGAGGTATAGGATATGTGGTTGACCTGGAGGCTGCCGTTGAAAACCTGGAATTGTGTCTTTGCTTCCCCTTTTTCTATTCTTAAGCATAAAGATATTAGCTTTCACATAGGATCTTAACTCATCCTTTTTGTCTGGGAATAGCTTGAATATGAGGCAATGGTTTGTACAAAAACTGAGCTGTGCTGCACTTTCTTTTTTTCTAGTTGCTTGTTACTATTGCCAAACCTAAGGGCCTTTTCTGTAGGTGGACGTAGACTGGAAGAGACCTCTGTTATGCAGTTCTGTTTGTTGTAGCATTGCATGCTTTAAATAATCCTGTAATACATTTTTTACTCTTTCTTGTAAGCTGTTAGGGTTGGACTTCCTTTGGAAAGGTTATTTTGAAGCAGTCATCCTTGGGTTGATGGAAAACACGTGAAGAATGCTCAGGCTTCTTCAGGATCCTGCTTCTGTATCATTATAGATCATAATTAAATAATAGACAATTGGGAGTTGGCTAGCTCCACAAGAAAGAACACAAGAATATTCACCTGCTTTTCTTGTTTGAAGCTAGTTTGTTTACTTCATAGTCTCCCAGGAAAAGCAATCAAGACTCCTTTCCCAAATGGGATGGCAATTGTGGGTTTGTCAGATCTTTAGAGGTGTCATAGAGTAGACCAAAATTATCAAGGTGAAGCAATTAATGTTTTGGGTAAGCATAGGGAGGAAACTGAGGTGAATTAAGTTAATTTCAATTGACTTTCCCCCTGGAAGTGCTGGGGGAATTTGGTGGAGGGATCCTGAGTCCTAGCTCATTTCAGAAAGCTTGATGATACAACTGAGGATTTAGGAACAAAAATGGACTGTGCTTAATATCAGTTGTCTTTAGTCTTGTCACCACAGTAATTGCTTTGGATAGAAAGTTCAAAATTTCTGCCATAGGGGAGAGAAGGCTGATCTTGTAATTCCAATTAAGTAAAAAAAAGAATGTTTTAGATGCTAAAGCAAGTGCAGCTATCTTTTCTAACAGGCATCAAGGGCTGTTGAATTTGGAAGGTAGGGTAGTGTGGACAGTGTTTGGACTTCAAAATTCTTTTTTTGTGGTTAATACAATAAATTTTATTTTCTTTGTTTGCTATAGGGCACTCATCTTTCCTCTTCTGATCCGTGAAGGAAAACCAACACCATTTTTCACTTTTGTTTTAGCGCTTCTGTTCTGTGCTTTCAATGGATACTTGCAGGGCCGAAGCTTAACCACCTATGCAATTTACCCTGCTGGCTGGCTGGGTGATTCACGCTTCATTACAGGTGAGTTAAATCATGTTTATGAGAACATCAGATGTAATTTTCGTCTGTCTTCAAATATATTATTTTTATTGTGATTTTATAGTATCTTCAATGCCATTTTATAAGTCTTCTCATAATTTTCTCATTGGTGTAGCTGGAGGCCTTTTAACCTTTTTTACTTTAGAACTGAGCAGGCACTTCTTTCTGCAGTGCTAGATGATCTGATTGTCATCTTTACTCTTTAACAGCCAAGTAAATCCAGGTCATATATTTTTTTTCACGTAGAAACTTGAAGCTCTCAATGGAACCAGCAGCATACAGATTTAGAAGAAGCAAGGACTTGCTGTGTAATATGCAGATTAAACTAAAGTAAATTAATTCATTGAGTAAAAAAATCTAGCAAGGATAGCTGCTAACTACTGATATATCATGGCAAATGCTACAAGTCATTGGTGTCAGGATATCTATGCTGGATGCACACACAGGCACCAATCCAGCTGTCCATGTTATTGGGGGGTGGTTTTGTCAAATGACAAAACTGGCCCCACAAGGAAGGGGTGGAAGGGTTGATCATTCACTCTCAATTGGGAAGTGATGTTACATTTACACTCAAAGCCATGGATATGATTAAAAGACTAAGGTATTTAGTGACAAAGTATTTTATTTACTTTTGTGTTTCCTAGGCATCTACTTTTGCCTACTGTCAAAATTATAGTATAATTTTCTAATGAAATCTTTACAGAATGATCATTTGCATCTGAAGATAAACTGTAATATTTTGCTTCATCAGTCAAAGGAAAAGTCCTGGACTGTGTAGATCCTTGATCTGAGTCAGTACCCTTCTTTTTGTCATTCTGTAGCCAGAGCAAGTTAGTGTTTCTCCTATTTTTTTTCAAGCTTTTTACAACAGCAACAACAATTTTTTTTTGTCTTTATTCCAGTGTTATGGTGGATGACAGTAGAGGACAACTGTGCTAAATACTGTCATGAATATGAGGTTGAAGAAATTTCAGTCTAAGTAGATTCTCTTGCCAAGAGTAGGAGGCAGTTCTGTTTGTGTGCTAAAAATAGAGAAATTGAGGTACAGAGGAATGACTTCAGAGGGCACTAGAATATATTTGAAATTTTCTTGGTCATTTCAAACTTCCACTTGCCTGAAATCAGAATCCAGAAAAAAAAAAAATATTAAAAGATTTGTTGATCAAAACTGTTGAAGACTGAAGCCAGGCAGGCTTTGTTTTCAGTACCTTAGTCGAAAGATATCTCAATACAGTGCTGTGAATAAATCATGATTAAGGAGCCATAAATCACTTCTTCCTTACTCAAATATCTTTAAAAAAAAATCAAGTTAATAAGACTTGTTGCTCAAGTTTCCTTGGGTTCTTTTGGGGGTGTTTTTGGGTTTTTTTTTAACATTTTTCAAGGATTTCTGAAAGATGCAAATGTATAAATGACAATAGTTAGGTTCATCTGCCTTCAGTTATGAATACTTCTGTGTATGAATTAGTTTGTGGTTTTGTTTGCTTTTTTTCCAGATAATACCAGTTTGAAATACATGCTTATATGTATTTCTAGTAGCATTAAACATAAGTGAAGTGTTGCTCTGGTGACTATTGTTAATCAATATAGTGATTTAAAAAGTTTTTGTGAAAACTAAGAAAGTGGAGGTTCCTGGTATACGTATCAACCACTTTAATGTTCTGCTTCAAATGCAGAACCATGAGCTGCAAAACCAAGAACAACATCATAATCTTTCAGCATGAACCTTACACCTGTATGCCAATAAAGAGCTTGTGAATTTACCAAGAGAGCTGGTGATACTCTCAAGTGGCGACTGCTTACAAACAGGACACTAGCGCCTCTGTGCCTCACCCTTGTGTCCTTTCCTAATCTATTTGCACTTTTAGTTGGAAACTCCTTTCTTCCTTTGCTTGCTTTAGCTTCTTCAAACCCTTTGCAGTATGCCATGTCTTTTCTTACTCCTTTAAGTAAGCCCCTATTAAACTACTTCCTTCAAATGTTGATGGCTAACTCTTTGGTGCATCAAAACACTGTTTTAGTAGCAGCTCTGCCAAGCAGAACAGCACCTGTAACTCACAAGGTGCAGGTTACAGAACCGTCAGCACCTCAACTATTGCACGAAGCTTTTTATCTGGCACGATAAAGTTTTATTAAGTGCACGTCACCTCTGCTCTCTTCACACATCAGACCTGAAAAGCACGTATGCATTGTCCATATCTGGATCTAATCTTGTACACAAGGAATGTGGGTTACCAGTTTTTCTCCTAATATCAATAGATCTGGATGCTCCAGATGATTGTGTCTTGTTGGAAAAACTACTTACAGAATCTGAGATGAGGCACTGGTTAACCTCAAAACAGACCTTATCTATTCATTATCAGCAGGGAATGCTGCCTTCAAGGGAAGATAACATAGGTAACATGTTGCTGAGGAATAAAAATAATGAATTTCAAACCTAAATTCCTTTTGATTTATCCCATCATCACGACAACATAAGGATGCAGAATGTGACAACAGTCTCAATTTCTGTGAAAGGCTGTAATAAATGGCTAAATCATTTTGCTGAATGGCACGAGTAAATGGTATGTTAATTCCTTCACAGTTGTATTCCTTTTATTGCACAGAAATCGGTTGGGGAAATTATGATATGCCATCAGTAAAATAGTAAAAGGATAGTGGGGCTAAGATATGTCCCTCTGGGAAGTTTAAAAATGACTATTTCTTTCAATGTGTAAAATTTTAGCATATTTGTTTTTCTGTGTGGAAGTTAGGAAAACATACATTTTACATCTGCATATATGCACATACATACATTTATATAAGTCTAGCAACATAAGAGTAAACTTCATTTTTACATATTTCCCTAGTTTCCCTAGGGAGCTGTTTGTACTGTGAGCTCTACTGACTGAAGAGCACAGTGTAGGACTGGGACTGTACAGTATGTCACCAGAACTGTTTATATGCTGCTTACGTTACTACTGCTTTGAGACAATATGCTTAATGTGATATCTGTCTGTAGTTTGTTTTCTGAACAAACACGGTACACTAAATATAGTACTTTCAATATTTCTCTTCAGGTTTTTTAGGGTGGTTGATTGGCATGGCCATCAATATTCATTCTGATCATATTCTCAGAAATCTGAGAAAACCAGGGGAAACTGGCTACAAGATACCAAGAGGTAGGTAAAATGGTACAGAAATTAATGCAACAAAAAGAAGTATCTCTCATATAAGAGGTGGAGAGCACTTGGACTGTTCAGACTGGAGAAGAGAAGGCTCAGGGAGATCTTACCAAAGTTTATATATACATGATGGGAGAGAATAAAGCAGAGAGAACCTCTCAGGCTCTCCTTAGTGGTGCGTAGTGACAGGACCAGAGGCACAGGACACAAAATTCAAGCACATAAAATTACATCTAAATTTTTCTGTTTATTTTTTTTTCTTCTCTGTGAGGGTGGTCAAACACACAGATGTGGAACAGGTTGTCCAGAGAGATTGTAGGGAGACTCAAGACCAGACGAGGCATAGTCCTGGGCAACCTATTCTGGCTGATCCTGCTTCAACAGTGGTGTTTGGACAAGATTATTTCAAGAGATGCCTTCCAACCTAAAATGATTCTCTGTGAAAATGACCTTCTAAAGTTTGGTGTATTTTAGAGGAAATAGTAATTTATGATAGTAGAGGCAACTGAAAATGACATTTTGCTTTCTACCACAGGAAGTGATTTTATAGTTTAGGAAGCATTTTATTTTGTCCTCTTAAGCCAAGTATTGTAAGGAATCTGTTTCATGGTATCATTTGGCTTGTGGAAATCTTTGGGTTTCTTTACCAACATTGGCTATATTTTTAAAAAAGAGTGAAAATGTAACAGCATTGCCCAACTTTTCAGAGAATCAGCAGGTGGGTGGAGAAGAAAGACCTAAGTTATCAACTCATTGTGGGGGCAGGAGGGGAATGAAGAAAGTACTCAGCATGTGATCCATCTCATGTCCCTTAAATAATCGGAGAACAGCAACAATTTTGAAAAGAGAGAGACAGGGAAAAGAGGAAAGAAATCCAAACTCATTTGGTTTTATTAATTCTGGCCTTCATGGGAAAATGGAGACTATGAAAGGCTTTCTTGTGGAGGCTGTATTGAAGTGTTAAGGTTTATTGACACTTTTGGAAGCAGGCACTCTTCTGGGTACATTACACTCACTGAGAGCAGAAAGATAATATTACCTCTGAATTCTGTTTTCGCACTACATTTTTTCTCTGAGTTGTTGCTTTTTCTTCGTTGTTTATTTATTTTACTAAAACTGTAAGAACTAAGATATGTATGATAGACTGTTATTTTTCACCAAGAAGGTGAAAATAATTATAATTTTAATAGGTGTAAATTGAAGTGCTTATGTGAAAAATGAATATAAATATACTGTACTATGTTCAGTGTGAAAAAGGTTCTGAAGGAAATGTGTTATTTGCTGTAAGATCAGGAGGAGCTGGTCTTTCTGATGTTGTTTATCTAGTGTTAGAATTTCACTTTTCTTTTGTCACAAAAGTAGTATAATTAGGGCAAGGTCAAAACATGTATTTTATTACATTTCCCAAATACTTGGGGGGGTTTTCTGCCAAATACTTTTTTTTACCATTGCCAAATAGTAATATTAGTTTCTCACTAGTAAAGCACATACTGAAATGTTACAAATTTGTACACCGACTTTGGAATTAGGGTGAAATTCTTAATTTACAAAATTCCCAGCAGCTGAGTACCAATTGTTTATGCACAATTGTCTATACAATAGATTTAACACAGACTGCCAAATTTTCACTGAGTGTAAGGGTTGAAACAGCAGATCTGATGAGGAATGCGAACAAAAGTGCAACAGCTTTGTAAGCCAGAGAATAAATTTGGAACTTTACTTCATAATAATAGTATTGTTCATAATTAACTTAATTCCTAAAGTACTTAAAGAAATAAAAATTGTGGGCTAACTAACCCTATGAGTATTTTCTGGGACTCAAGGGGTGTATGTCTTCTATTTCTACATATTTTAAAAAAGGTTTAGTGTATGATCAAAGAACATGTCATTAAGTTATTATTCACAAAGGCATGTACTTGCTTCTGATGATAATAAATCTACTTTTCTTTCTTTATTTAAAGAGGAAAAATGGAGCTATAAAAGGTCTGTCTTAGAATGAGGTCTGAAGTGAACCTTCATATTACAGCTTGAACTGAAAAACGCTGTCTCCACTGCCTTTAAAGATTAAAGACATTGGTGACAGAGCTTCTATTTGGTGCGCAGAAAAGATAACATTGGACGTCTTGATTAAGGTATTTTGAAGTAACTTTGTCCTGCTTTCAGGAGGAATGTTTGAGTATGTCAGTGGAGCCAACTTTTTTGGAGAGATCCTGGAATGGTTTGGGTTTGCCCTTGCCTGCTACACCATTGAAAGCCTTGCATTTGCGTTGTGTACTCTCTTCATCCTGGGTTCAAGAGCAAGACAACACCACAAGTAAGTGTTCCTGCCTTGTAATTTCTGTTGTCTCTATTCCACACAGCATTTCTGTTTCACAAATTATGCCTCATCCTATAGGAATGCTGCAGAGCAAGTCTTGTGAAAGAGACTGCTGCTCTAGGGCAGAATATGATAGAGAATACTCTTGAGAAGATTAAGTACTGCAGAATTTCAGCAGAATAGTACAGAGCATAAACACAGTGCAACAAGGTGGTTAAAATTTTGTTTAAATGAAGGTAGTTCATCCTGGATCTGTAAAGGTTATAGACAAGTTTAGCAATATTGTCTTAATTAATCAAATACTACGCTTTCCCTTCTCAAACTTGTTTCTGTATTATTAAAATTTTGAAAATCACCCAAGCTGTCTTTAACAGGCACACTTTATAGTCATGTCTGTATCATATTGACTGTAATCAATTGTATAGACATTATGAAAACAGTTCTGGAGATTATATTTAATGAAGTCTCTGCTCCAAACATTCTGACTGCTCATGTACTGTTTTTATAATGTGGCTTTCCTGCTAACAAGAAGGACAGTTTGAGGAGACTTGTTTCCTGAAAGGACTCTCATTAAGGAATAGCATGCTTAAAAGAATTTGAACATGTTGATTTCATTTTGGTTATTTTCAGTTTCCTGTTTTGGTTCTCGTGTTGAAACTTAGGGGCATAAGAAGAAATAAACATGAATTTAAGGAGAAAACATTTAAAAAAAAAAAAATACTGGCCATCTGTGAGGGCAGCCATGTTCATGTTTAATGGCATCTTGAAAACCTCCAGATAGAGAGGTTTTCCTGCCCCTTGTTTATAGGATGTTCCAGGTCTGTATTATCCTCCTACTGAACAAGTATCCAAACCTGTTGCCTATAACCATCTCTTCCTGTTTTATCATCTCCTATTAGAGAGCAGAATTGGAGAGTATCTTAAGTTGGGAGGAGCATTTGAAGGTTGTCCAGTCAACTGGTGTGGCTGCTCCAGCCAGGGCAAACCACAAGGCTCTGCCCAGTTGACCAGGGCTCATCCAACTGAGTTCTAAGTGTCTCCTCCTTGCCAGATGAAGCAAGGACATTTTCTCCTGCTTCTCCTTGTATATTACATTCTTCAGGCTCAAATTCCATGGTTGGTTTCCATCAATCTTAAGCCTTGGTGGCATTCTTTCAGAACATCAAGAAAAACTAAATGTTAACAGAAGCTATTTAGACTAAAGAGAAAATGCATAAAAATGGAAGAGGGGTACAGGAAAAAAAACCCAAGCAACTAAAAATAGCAAATCCATGTAAGTGAAGGAGCATGTTAGTGTAGTTTGTTTATTTAAAAAACTTAGAATAAATGACTGAAATAGGTAAATAGGGTAATAACTATTCCCTAGATGCAGGTTATCGTGCATTGCATGTTTTGTTCTGTTTATTCCAGCTTTGATCTTGCAATTAGCTGTTGATATTATGAATAACTGCACCTTCGAGGAGCCCAGGTGAACTTGGTTCTTTTATTTCAGAGAAGCAGAAGAACAAATATTCAAAAATGGGAGTAAATGTGCTAGTTACGGAAAGTGAAAACAAATAATATCTGATAGTGCTCTGCATTTTTTTTTGTCTGAATTTGAAAATAGTGATGGTCTTTAAGGGGTATTAGCAATAAGGCAAGTTCAGTGTTTGTCATGTTCAGTTTGATTACCCAAATTCTAACTTCAGCCAAAGATGTTTCTATGCAGAATGGGACTCTCAGTCCAGTGTGTGAAGTATCCCTTGCTTCCATGTGAAGTCATTATGCAATTACATGTTTTTGATTTAATTTTTCTCCCTCTAATTCTAAAATGTGTAAATACTCAGGATGTGTAACAATATACATTTTGAAAGAATGGGTTATTCCTTCCCTGACATGTCACCACATCTGTTGGTTTGATTTCCCATTGTTGGCAGCTGTAACTTAGTTTTGTTATATTTGGTGATTAGATGTCATTAGGGTGAGTGCACTAAATGCTATTTTTCTATCCAGAGTAGGTTCTAAAAGTTTGGGGTTTTTTTGTTTGTAGACAAAAACGTGTATGGATTAAATTAAACACATTGTACAATTATTTAATTTTCTCAAGAATGTTTTGAAGACTCTATACTCATCAGATTTCTTTCTTTGTTTTTCAGATGGTACCTTGAGAAATTTGAAGACTATCCAAAGGACAGAAAAATTGTCATCCCATTTTTGTACTGAGCTGTGCTTTTAACACTTTGAGATGGATGGCTTTTAGTAACAACCAACATTTTACAGATACTGACAGGCTAGTAACACACTCAGATCATCACTATGACAAAGCCTTTCCATCACTGCTACTGTTACTTACTGCTTTTTCCTCTTAATGGTAACCCGGAAGTCTGATGAACAGGGTGAATAGGAACAGAAGTGCTTTTCCAGCAATGAAACACCTTTAAAAATACATTAGGCAATGAGTCTGAATTGGCATTGTGGGAAGCATTGTGCACAACTTTGATACTTCTTTTTCTGCCTCTGAGGGCTTCTTCTGTTTCCACTCAATGTAGCCAAGCTGAACTGAGGACTGTGCTGTGAGCTCAGCCACCCTCTGCAGTCTGCATCCAGACTGCAGCCTGGATGGTGCGTTCTGCCTACATATACAAATAGGGTTGATTTTATTTTTTTTTCCCTGCCTTATTAATCCTTTCATTTCCCCCACCTGCATCTCCAGGTGAGCTAGTGATTTAGACCAAGGAATTAGATGAATACAGATGGTTTTAGCTGGAAGGCAGTGTTTTCCCTTCTCTTTGCACTCTTACAAATATAGGGACACTGTATAGACAATATTTAATGATATTTACATAAAAGTTGTACTGCTACTAGATTAATATTGTCATCTACCTCTTGAAATTGATAGCAATCTCAAGATGCAATATGTGTCTTCTTACTCTAAGCTGGTTTTGGAAGTCTACTTAAGATACTTAGGCAAATCTAGCATTGTTAACAATTGTGTAATGTTTTCTACCTTACCTTATAAAAAACCCTTGAGATTTAAAAAAATTTTTTAACTATGCTGTTTTAAAAAAATCAAGTGTCTTCATCTGTGCTAACATTCTAGATGATTTTATATTCTTATATTCTGGAGCCTTTTGTCAGTTCTCATACCCTATCTTTTACTCACAAAGGACTCCAGAGTGATTTCAAGAACATGATGGGATCCCAAGCGTACATATTTTCAAGTTAACTGTGTCTTTTGCATGATTGTAATAATAAAGAATCTTTTATAATTACTGACACCAAAAAAACCCCTGAACCAACTCAAGGAAAAACTTAAAGAAAAAAATCCAATGAAGCCCCCAAGTGAACAACCAAATTCCAGTAATTAAAAGAATTAAAAAAACAAACAAATGTACACTAAAAAAGCTTTCCACAAAACCCCAAATCTCTGCTGCTAATATAATTTGAAAATAAATGGAATTCAAACTTTTGCCAAGTGTCATCTACTCTGTTTTTGTACTATTATGTTGGGTTATGTTCTTCAAAACAAATTAGTAACATAATTTTGCCAGATGCTAAGAAAGTAAGCTTTCTTTTTACTTTTTTGCAGTAAGATTTGTTTTGATGAACAGTCATGATGCTCGCTAGAGAGAGAGAGGATGGTGAAGAGTGTGATTTACTCCTCAATGCTAAAATGGATAAAAGCTCAATAGGATCACTTAAAACATATTCTGAAGATAGTTTTAGAATCTTAGTCTTAAATATCAGGATATTTCCAAATCCTGACATTTCTGCAGCATTTTTTAAAATCTTCCTTTCTAAATCTATCTATCAAAATCTCTTTCAGTGGAAAAAAAATATAGGATTCGAAAACCACTATCTACCGAAGATGTTTAAGCACTTACATAGTTTATGGTGTAGTAATGTCTTTTTTGGGTTTGTGTGGCCAGATTTTGGTGGTGGGGTGTACAGGAGTGACTTCTTTAAGAAGCTGCTAGAAGCTTCTGCCATGTCTGGCCAATGCCAGATTGTCCCAGGGCCATCCTGCCCCTGACCAAGGCTGAGCCCATCAGGAAGGACAGTAATGTCTTGGTAATAACATATTTAAGGAACAAAAAAAACATGTGGGCAGAGCAACATCTATGCAGACAGCAAGTGGAGGAGTGGGAGGAAGTGCTTCCAGTGCTGAAGCTGAGATTTCCATGCTGGAGCTGTGCCCCTGCAGCCCATGAAGGACCATAGGGATGCAGAGATCCACCTGCAGCCTGTGGAGGATCCTTGTGCTAGAGCAGGTGTCTGCCTGAGATGAGGCTGTGAACCCATGGAAAGCCTGTGCTGGAGCAGGGTTGTGACAAGGGTTTTTGGAGAGAGGAGCCCACGCTAGGGCAGGTTTCATGGTGGGACTTGTGACCCTGTGGGGGACCCACACTGGAGCAGGCTGTGCCTGAATGGCTGTACCCTGTGGAAGAGCAATCCTCGTCGGACAAGTTCATGGAGAACTGTTGCCCGTGGGAGGGAGCCCATATTGGAGCAGGGGAAGGCCTCCTCTCCTTGAGTAGCAGGAGAAACCACAGGTGATAAACTGACCATAGCCCCCATTCCCTGTCTCCCTGAACTGCTCTGTGGGAGGAGGTAGAGTTTGGAGGTGGAGGGAGGGTGTTTTTAAGATGTCTTTTACTTTTCATTATCCTGATCTGATTTTGTTCTCGTTTAATAGGACTACTATAATTCAGTAATAAATTCAGTTAATATCCCCAATTTGAGTCTGTTTTTTCTGTGGTGATATTTTATGAGTGATCTCTCCTGGTCCTTATCTCAACCCATGAAGCTTAGGCCTTTTCTTCCCCCTGTCCAGTTGAGGAGAGGAGTGACAGAGTGGCTTTGGTGTACACCTGGCATTCAGCCAGGGTCAACCCACCAAAATATCTTATATCTTCAGGGATATTTGTTTAAAAATCACTAATGGGATAACCTACCAGTAAAAAACATATTATACAGCACTTTAGTCTCTAACACTTTTTTCTTTATTTTTTTTTCTGTGCCTTTTTTGAAAAGGCAAATAATTTTTTAACACTAAACAGTGAAAGAAAGGTCAGTGTTTATTACATCTCTATATTCAAGAGCTGTAGCTCTCTAGTCAGTAGTCTTTTATCATAGTTTCCAGAAAATTTGAACAGATGCCTTGGTTTTGCTCTGCTACTATGATAATAAATACTTATCTTGCCTAAAAGTTCAGTTAGTTTGCCCACATAATGTTAATTTATGGTTTGCCTACAGTGGGATAGGATCTGAAGTGGGATGGTCTGACAGCTTATCCTTGTTCTCTCTCTTGTTACAGAAAAAGAAGAGCTGAGGTCTGTGGGCTGTGAATGTCAGCATGTTTAGAAATTTTAGTTAATTGGATTCATAAAAAAACACCCAAACCCAAGCCAGAACGCTTTGTTCTTTGTCTGACTATATTTTATACTCTCATTATACTTCTAGAGCTTTCCCTAAGTAAAGTACAGGTTTTATTTGAGGCAGTTCTTAGAGTGCAGGTCTTAGGAGGAACAGCTGCAAGAGCTGGGACTGTTTAGCCTGGAGAAAAGGAGGCCCAGGGAGAATATTACTACTCTCTACAACTGCCTGAAAAGAGGTTGTGGTCAGGTGGGAGTTCATCTCTTCTCTCAAGTAACAAGTGATAGAATGAGATGAAATGGCCTCATGTTGTGCCAGAGGAGGTTCAGATTGGCTATTATGAAAAATTTCTTCACTGAAAGGGTTGTCAAGCCCTGGAACAGGCTGCCTGGGGAAGTGGTGGAGTTACCATCCTTTGAGGTATTTAAAAGACATGTAGTGGTGGCACTGAGGGAGATGGTTTAGTGGTGGACTTGGTTAGTGCTGGGTTAACAGTTGGACTCAATGAACTCTGAGGTCTTTTCCAACTTAAACGACTCCATGATTCCTAAATTTTAAGACCGAGGTACATTGGTGAAAGTGTATGATCAACTTGGTCAAATGCTAGAATTGCCTTTTGTTTAAACAATATCCTACATATTTTTCACACTTCACTTGTGACCCCTTTCCTTTTCAGTAGCTCTGACAGATTCTTCTGTTGGAAAATATCTAATACTGAAACATTTTTCTCAAAAATATGTAATGTGAAAATGAACTCTGTTCTGCCCATTCCAGAAGGAGAAAACATGCATAGTTCCTATTTGGTACAATATCTGTAGCTATTTTTAATAGAGATGCTTCTAGTCAGATTGATACATTTTTCCCCCAAATCCCTTACTAATAAAACATGATTTGTGGTGTCTTGATTGAATACTTCTTTTTTTTAGACTTTTTTTCTGTTAGTAGTTGTTGCAGCCTGGGCAGTGGTCTGGGTGCCATGACCTTCCCAGAGAAGCATCCTTGGAAGGACACTCTCAGGCACACGGTCAATCCCTGCCCTGCCAAGAGTGGTCTCAGCTCTGAGCCCTAAAAAGGGCTGTTGAGTGATTGTAGCTCTTTGGGTGACACAGCAGAGAAAAGATGGAGCCTTCGTATGGAGTTCCTCAGGAGGCTTCATTCAGCTTCTTCCTTGGAGGGGTCCAGGGACAAAGAGCCTGGGAGTCAGAGCGAGTAGGGATTTATATAGGAGGATCAGGACTAGTCAACTGAAGGTTCAGGGGCAGAGCAAAGGGGAAGGACCAATGGGATACATAGAATCTGCATGGGGTGCATAAAATTTGCATGGGCTGCAAGGCATGCTGGGGGGTGACTCCTTTCTGCTTGTCACAAGTGAAGGCTATTACCTAGGGTTTCTAGTCTCAGGGAGAGTGTGGAAAACTGGTGCATAAGGGCCTTCTCTCCAGGGGAGAGGGGTTACATTGTTGGCCAACTCAGTGGTCTCCCCAGCTCCTCCTTCTTTATTTATTAAATAAGCTTCCCCAACAGCCTTTTTTAAACCAGGTAAGAAACATAATTAACACAATAAAAATAACCAAAAAGATCCATAAAAGATTATTGAGAAAAGGGGCAATCCAGGCCCACAGTCTGAATTGTCCAAAAAGGTTTGTAAACCACTCAGGGTCCTTCTCAGTCTGAATCTCCTGGATGTCCTCTTTCAGCAATTGGACACTCATTGAGATTGATTTGTTGATATATTTTATATATTAGTAAAGGCCTGTCTGCACAAACCAGTCTTTGAAATAAGTCGTGATATTAAAGGCTAAAGTCCTTGAAACCTTCCTGCAGAAGAGAGAGTAAAGCAAAACAAGTGCCGTGTGTATAAGAGAAAGAATGTAAACCTGTGTGTATTAGCCAATAGTAATTTGCTTAGCCAGCAGACCCTGTAGAATCCTATAAAAGGTGTGTTAATAATAGAAATAAACGGTGTTCATGTTTACTTCTGTGAAGGGTGGTGAATAGGTGGCGGTCTCTCAACATTGATTGACTGTGATCTGACAAGTTGAAGCAGCAGAGCCACTCAAGGTCCTGGCAGCCATGTCCATAGAGTAGCAGAAGGAAATTGATTGCCATGTGGTTTTGCCTGGTGGTCTCTTCATCTCAGAGGAGGTCATTGAGTGCTTTAGATGTCCTGTTAGCCTGCTTAGTAAGCCAACACCCCAAGTGAAAAAGCTCACCTAGGCCTTTTGCAGCTGCCACCCGTGGGAGGAAGGTGGACACCACGACCCTTTTACTTTTTGGCCAATCAGTGAATTTGGAGTCACAATTTTCATTGAATCCATCAAGTTCCCGTTTTTGGCATGCCAATCTTATCTTTTTGTCTCCAATCTTGTAATAGGGTGATATTTGCGGTTAGTGTGCTAAGTAAGCCAAAAGTGCGGAGGCCTCCCATGAGACATGAGGGAACTTCTCCCTAGGCCCAGTCTCCGCAGAGGAGGAACACACCCAGTGGGAGCACTCTGGAAGAGAAGGAAGTGTATTCCGCTGAAGATGAATAGATAACGCGGACACAGGTCGAGGTGTGGTGAAAGAAAGAGAGCCGAGTTTATTTTTCCTCCCAGGATTTATAGGCTTGTGACCACGGCCAGAGATTGGATGGTCAGGATAACACTTTCTCACTGCACTGGCCATGAGAGATGCCCATCACAAGACGTGTAACAGAAAGAATGTACACATATCTATGTTTACAGTTACTGTCCTGGGAAAGTCCTTAGAAAACTATGTTAGCAAGCTCAGAAGCTGAGTTTTCAGGGCGACAGAAGTGGAGGAGTCAAATGACGTTTCTAACATATAATTGCACCATTGGGCTTAAATTGTATATCTTTTTGGTTGGGGTAACATCCTTAGTAAAACTAACAGAGGGATTGAGAAAATAAGAGTTAAAGCAATGGCTGGCCTTGGATGACCTCAATAAATCAAATCCTTGAGGTTCTTCTGGTGCTTTGGGTAGTTTCTCCATCCACCAGTTCCAACCCTCCAGAGTGCTCTCCATCTGGTTGTGCCACCTCCCCG